ATGCCATTTCCAAAACCTAAATTTGTAGCTTCTGGAATATATCAGAGGCTTTTTCCAGAAGAAAAAAAACCAAATCCAACAGTCTGCTTTCCACAGGCAGCTCTGTGGATGCAGCTCTGCCAAGTTTCTGCCAAACAACAGTTTTAATGAAAATTTAAGTCTGAGTCCAAATTTTTGCTCAGACTGCAAGGAGAGCCACTGCAGGGTGGAATAAAAGCCCGTCTAGCATCACACCCTGCCTCCACATCTTTCAACCTATCTGGCAGGTCCTCACTGTAAGGACTTCTTTTTAAGTGGCTTTGTGGAGGCACGAGGCAGCTGGGGGCTTCTTCCAGGTGCTCTGGGCATCACCCCAGCTTGCAGAGCCCTGGGAGCCACGTGCCATCCACCCCTCCCAGAGCATGGCCAACAGCAAGCTTCTGGAGATGAGCAAAAAGACAGGGGTTTTGGCTGTCAAGGCATAAAAACGTTGCATTATGGATCTGAAGATGTTAAAGCTGAATCTGAGTACACAGCATCATAACACGCTCAATTAAAGCCCTAACGAGTTCCCTTCTTGTTGGGTTGTTTTACATGCACAGTCCAGTTCACCACAACACTATTTTTCAGAGTGGTTAAACTCTCATTAAAAACACGTAAGAAAAAGCCTGTGTCAGTACTGTCTTAACCTTGTAGCAATCCCTTTTGGAATTTAGAGGAATCAGTATGAATTAAGAGGCTCACAAGCTAATAACAAAGAGAAAATGAAGGGCAGGCAGAGAAGCCCCCGTGGCTGGTTGGGACTGAAGGAGCAGAAAGATCTCAGGCACTCAGCTCAGGGCAGAGGGATGCTCAGGCAGAGACTTGCCAAGGCTGAGTGCCCAGTTTGAGCCACCACAGGAGGCTCCAGCACTGGGGAAGTGATGAGCAGCCACTCCAAGAGGTCATGCTGTGGCACCTCAAGCTTTACAACCAAGACATCAGGCATTTTTCAAAGACATGGATGTAAAATCTAAAGACGCTTATTAATAAAAGTAGGAGCTGGAGCAAAACACAATTTACCCTTCTGGACATTAAGCATTCAAAATGTTTCTCTGTAAAGTACCAGCAAAATGAGAAGACAGAAGAAGAGGAAACCAGGAGAGAAGTTTGCATCCTTGACCATCATTGTGCACCATGCATGGGAGGGGAGGGGGCCAGATGGACCTTCAGATACCAGGTGAGGTGGTGGGCTCAGTAGCTCCTCTACCAAATGAACTGAACTTTAAATGATAAAGCAAGAAAAAAAAAAAAAGCCAGGGATTTACTTGGCAATTTTCTCTCTGCACATTTTAATAGCACCATAACCCAACGAGCCACTTCTGCTAATAACTGTTCTTCTTCAGACGACTACACAGATGACTTCTCAAGATGGGAGCCTCACTGGGACCACATCCTCTCTGACTGATGTCTCATCTCATTCCAGATAAGATACCCACCCAGTACAATTCATGCCATTTCATTCTGCCCCATTTTTCCTACCAAGGTACTCAAACGTACTGGCAATCAGTACAGTTAAGTGCTCTCCATAAGGAGCAGATGCAGCTCCCACTTGTTCAAGCATGGAGAGAGGAGCACAGCAACACCCTGCAGCTCAGACCCCATTCCACAGAACGATGCTCTGTGTTCCTGAATCAAGTAAAAGGCAACAGAAAATGACATGAAATACTGGTCAGGGGTATGGGTGCAAAAATAGTTCTGCACAAGCCCAGTAAGAGCTGGGCTCCATCTTCTACCAGCTTTCAGCCAAGCATACAGCTCAACAAAGCCTTTTCCTTTGCTTTTACTCAAAAGCAGTGCTACCCATTGCTCACTGGTGACTCCAAACTCAACCCTGTGTTTGCTTGTACCTGCCCCAGAAAAGGCCATTTCACAGCTCTCAGCCTGCTGCTGTGGTGTACAAAGCTGGGCAGGGGCCACTTGTGACCATCCAAAGAGGGTTTCTGTGGTTTAAGTTCCTCAGCCAAGGCTCCTTGGGCCAATACTGCAGTGGTGGGGGAACATCCCAGACTCCGGGATTTATTTCAGGGACAGAAGCTGCTGCTCTGCTCCCTGCTCCTGCCAAGTTGCTGGCAGGCAGAAGAAGAGAGGACAGAAAGGGATCTTTTTTCTTTTTTTGGTTGGGTGTTTTGGGTTTTTTTGCCTATGCACAGCTGGTAAATTTTCCCTGGGCAATTCCATAGCACCCATCCAACTCCTCTAACCTTTGCCAAGTGTCTGACAGAGCCAGGAAGCCACAACAGGGTTTCTGGAGGATGCAGAAGCCAGATGCAGCAGGAAAACACCAGTATTTCCCAAGCAAACATGATATCATAGGCAAGAAGAAAAAAAACCAAGCTGGTGCTGCTTCTTCCCTCTTGCCCTGAACCTTGCAATTCTTCAAGCAACCAAAGCAGAGGGATTCCAGAAGAAGCATTAACAAATGAAGAAGTTTCAAATGAACAAGCAGCCTGTCCTTACTACAAGTTGTACATGAGCATCCTGCAGCACCCAGGCTGAGGGCAGCTCCCACAAAGCCTGCAGCTGGCCAGCACTGCTTGCCATCCTTAAGAGCATCAAAACATCTTGTTGCTGCAAAATGTGGGTTGGCACACAACGGTGTGGTGCCTGCAGTGACTGGGGATGCCAGCAGTGACTGGGGAAGTCACCCATTGCAGTGGCTGGACTGTGGCGAGGTGGGGAGAAAGCTAAACATACACCTCCTTAAAAAGCAGAACTCCCCTGCTCTTGTTTAGTCTTTTTCTGTTGAAAGGCACAGAGAGCCTCAAACTAGAGAAAAAACAAAACAAAACAAAACAAAAAAACAACCTGGCAGCTTTACTCAAGACCTTCCCAACACACGATGTACCCACAGCTGTTTCTGCTGCAGCAGCCTCAGGAGATCCATGGCATCAATCCCAACGCTTCCCGCCGCGGCAGAGCCAGCAGTGCCAGCACCTATGGACCCAACTCAGAAATCAAGGCATCCAGGCTGAAAACTGTCTCACTGCAAAACAGGCACTAGTTGAAAACACAAAAGGACCAGAAATTAGTCTTGCAGCCACTTGCAGGAGGACAAGCCTTGCCTCGTCCTCCCAAACCATAAATAAATGACCAAAAAAGAGACCACAACAACAAAAAAACCCCTAAGCCATCCAGCTCCTGTTTCTCTTGGGTTATGAGCCCAGCCATGTGCTTCTCCACTGGGCACTGGGAAGGGCTGTGGATGGAGCAGCCACAGTGGCCCTGGCAGCCCAACCACCCCCAGCTTTGCTCCCCCAAGTGCAGCTGCACCACAGGGTGGAGGTGGAAAAATATCACAGCAGCAAAGTTGAGCTGCTTTATCAAAGAAAGCCAAACCAACTGAGCTCAGAATGAGCCACAGGCATTTCTCCCAGCCCGACAGCAGAAGAAATTAAAAGCCCTGTGGTCTTCAAGCTGGCTGAGGTGCAAGGTGAGCTTTTGCCACCTCTCAGTTTGAGGTGAGGAGAGCTGGGTGCGATTTGCTGTCAAATCTCAGGGCACTACAAGTTGCAGAGGGTCCTGCCTCACTTCCAGACAGGCTCCCCCAGCACAAGCTCTGCACCCCTGCAGGCAGGGATGGGGCACAGGAAGGAATCAGAAGTCTGCTCCTGGAAAAGATGTAAACATCTTGGATATCAAATAGGCCCCTGCTTGTAAGGACAAAAGAGTAGCTAAGGCTGGACTGCAACACCTCATTGAGACTTAAGATTAAACACAACAAATACACCCCAGAACTGTGTTTCTCCTGCCAGTGGCAAGTAGGTGAAAGTCTTGCTTCTCCATCCTATCAGTACACACAAGTCTCAAAACAGCACCACCAACTGCTGAGATGTTGTTGCTCAGCAATATAGACGTGGTGGCGGATCCTCTCAGGACCCCAACAGCTCAGGAGAGATGTCTGTTCCCCAAGAACAACATCCACCTCCCAGCTGCTGGCACAGCCAGCAACTCCTCCTGCCACCCAGGGAGGGTTGGGAGCCTGTGGTGCCTTTCTTCTTCCTAGGAGCCCAACAGACCCTTCCAGTGCTTCTGTTTTGGGCATCTCTTACAACACAAGAACACACCATCCAGCTGCTCAGAGCCTCATACACTGTTTTCACATCACCCACTTCAGCCACTGACACCAGTTCAAGCAGCAACAGGACGGGGCCCAGAGACCAGTACTGACCAGCTTGCTAATACTAAAGCACTGGGTCTGGAAATGGTGTCCTCCAGACCACCTGTGAAGACTGGTTTTACAAAGATACAAAACTCTGAAAGGGCTGGAACCTAAAAACCAATTTCAGTGCATCTTGCTCCCTGGATGGTGCAGCACATTCTGGCTGCTCAGCCCTCTTGGTCCACAAACTCAACCCCAGCCTACCAGGAAGGTTTACTCTACACTATGCAGGAGACAATACCTTTTCACTCCTCTTCACAGAGGAGATTATTTGTCACTCAGGCAGAAAAGAAAATCCCCCACTTTGGCACAAAACCCCAGTATTTTTGTGTTAGGAGTAACTTAACATCTCACACAGCAGATAACCAAGTTCTGTTTTGAAGCAGAAGGACTATCTGGAAAGGTAGAGGAAATCAATGGGCAGAAATTGGCATTTTTGTAGCTTTAGAAACTTGGAAGAGTCTGGGGAACAGACAAACTATTGACTTTCCTGCATCATCTCAACTGTACTTATTAAATGAGATCCCACACGCAGTATAAACTCTACCATATGCGTGCAGAAGAACAAAGATTTTCAGAGCTTTTTATAAATGAAACCTCCTTTGTGGCTAAAAAAAAAAAAAAGTATCATGCTGAAACGAAAATATTACAGAGGCTGCAGCTGCACAAACAAATAAATGGTGTTTACCAGCAAAGGTATTTACTTACTGACAGTCAAGAAATGTTGGCTTGTAATAAAACGGTGGCATTTTAGATTCATATTTTGCTTTTGCTACATTGTTTCCATTTGAGGCCATAAACTGTGAAGAGAAGAGAAAGGGCAGAAAGCATTAAAAAATGTTAACTGTATTTTTCCTTGTCCTCTCTTGTTTCTAGAAAGTAATAAATTTCTTGGGATGGGGCCTCTGTGCACTTAGGGAGTTTTCCCCAGGACTGTGCACAGAGGGGATGCTGCAAAGGCTGTGTCTGCAAACCAGGGCTCAGAAATTTATACTGAGCATTATTGCCAGGGCTGCCACAGCTTCATAAGACACTGAGGACAGATCCGTGTCCCAGTCACACGTGCACGATCCCCACTGGTCCCCATGGGAGCAGAAGGCAGCACGTGGTGGCATTTCTCCCTCCTGGGCATGGGAATGAGATGGCTTCCAGGGAATCCAGCACAGAAATTAGGCAACCTTGACACCAACTTTAAGTCTCCATGTGTTAGGGCTCCAATAAGGTCACAGCCCCCAGCAAAATGCCCTTTGCTTTGGAGCACGTGGCTTGTTTCAAAAAGCTACTTTTATTTAAACTAAAAGCCACACCAGCAGCCTCAGAAAGGAACTTGAGGTGTTAAAACTTAATGAATTAATTAATTCTCTTTGCTTTGACAGCCCTCCTTCCCTTCTAATCTGATTTTTTAAAAAGGCTAGTTGAGAAGACTGCAAACAAAACCACATATTTCCCTATATATCAATTTATATCATGAAAATCACTGTGTAAGTGTAAAAACTCCTTCCTACCCCAGGCAGCCACGTTAACCATGTTTTGTCTTGTATCAAATGCACAAGCATCACAAGCAGTTAGGCTTCTTTTTTTTTCTCCCTAAGATATTTTTTCCTCATTATTTTTGAGTTTTTCGAGCTTCTCAAGTTTACAGATTCAATCCATTAAAAAAAAAAACCAAAAACAAACAAAATAAAACAAAAAACCAGGAAAGGGAAAACCCATGCACAAAGGCCTGTTTTCTTCATAAAACACATGACTCCATGAGCTGTGGCTTTCAGAAAATCCTCAAATCTACAACCTACAGGGTAAAGATGGATGACTGGCAGTGTTCTTCATGGCTTTAAAGACACCCAGAGTCAAAGCACACAGATTTCCTGGGAGGGCTTGGCTTCAGCAACATCACCCAATCCAGGCAGATAGGTTGCATAAATAGAATTTACACTGTGAGGGTTCAGTTCTTCAAGAAATGAGTTTAAGGGTCTTCAATGCTAAGTGAAACAAAGCCAGGAGCAGTGGGGATGGGCAGGGTGGGAGGCTATGAGAAGTCTCACCTACTGTCTCGTCTAGGCTAAGGGCAACATAAGAAAGGCAAATCATACCCAATTAGTAACTTCTACACTCTATTTAATCAGGGGAAACTCTCCCAACTTCCTCATGAAATGGTTAGTTCATTTTGCCATCAGCATCATGGACCTCATTTCCACCTTCAGGAATTATCTAGACATGCTTTCTGAGACCATGTTTGTTGTGGCATCTTCAGAAAGGACCCTCTTTTGCAGCTTTGCTGGTGAAACCAGGCACACGTACCTCCACCTGAGCATCATCCCAGTCATCCAGACGGACAGACTTCACTTTGCTGACTTGTGGGATGTTGCGGTGGATTCCTGAACAATTCAAGCAGATGAAGATCCCCAGGCTGTGGGATGCCCAGTCTGGGTCTGCAAGCAAGAAGGAAAGAGAATATTGCACTTGACTGGTTGATTGGATTCAGTGCAGGGACACTTCAGTTCAGAGACAGGACAGGGCAAGCCCGGGGAGTTCAGGAAAGGAGAGACGAGACAGGACAGGGCAAGCCCGGGGAGTTCAGGAGTCACCAGGTCCAAGTTCCCTGATTTTAAAGGCACCAAACACACACACAAGCAAAATACAGATGAGTGTTCATAGTTACACCAGTTACACCAACAATTAACAAGTTTTCAATCTCAAGTGCAGCAGTTACTCACTAGAACCCAATATACAGACAACTGCATTTGCCCTACCCCTCCAAAATGTACTCCATGCTCACACACCGAGGTTCACCTCTCATCAGCAAATCACACAATTAAAACAAACAGCTCAGGGGAACTGTTGTGCTGTTCCCTTGCCTTGTTTTATATTTTATTTACAATGGGAGTGCTTCACAGAGAGACTTTCCTCCCTCAGCTACAGCAGCCCAGCAGCCCAGCCCTCTGTGCCAGGAGGTTTCCAGCCCTTGCCTTGATGGAAAAACGCTGCCAGTGCCTGCTCTGTGCTTCCTCTGAGCAGAACCACGCACTGTTTTCAGCCTCGAGCTGACATCTCACACAAAGCACTTCAAACACAAGTCCCTTGCCTTCAAATTCCTCCTTGGCAGAGGCACTGCTTGAAGCATAGAGAGGAACTGGAGGAGGGCAGGGGCCAGGGCAGGACACATCCAGCACTGGCCCTGGCCCTGCCTCACTGGTAGGGCCAATACAGGGACCTTTGTTTGCACTCCCACTGGCAAATGTCAGCGCCTGCGATTCCAGCCGCGCTCCAGCAGGAAGAGCATCCTTGCAAAGCCCCCGAGTCAGCCACGAAATCCCTGTCTGCCCCCAAAAAGAGGTCCCCTCATCCCATTCTGCCCCAACCTCCTCCCCCAGGCAGCAGCCCCTGTCTGCCCCACAACATCAGGCTGTCAAGGGAGAAGGGCAGGTCTTCCCTTCTCACAAACTGTCGTCATTTGCTTCTTCCCCTGCAGTAATTACGCTCGACACCCGCTCCTCACAGGACAGCAATTATTTATCAAAAGCAAAGGAACATGCTTTCTCCTCCTTATCCATATCTAATGGCCTGGCTGTGGCAGTGCAGGCTGCCCTTGGGACACACAGCTCCCCTGCACAGGGCATCGAGATCTGCTGCCAGACCCTGCCCGCAGGGACGGCCACCAACCTGCCCAGCACACCCTGGGCAGGATGAACTTGGCTGCCCAGAGATGGTTGTGTTCAGATATAAACCCATGGGCAAAATGAGCAGCCTGATCAGATGTGGCTAGGTGCCCCCTCAGGGGAAGGAACCAAATTTCCCAGGTTTTTTATGCACTTCCCATCAGCCACTCTTCTTTGGCACAGGGCTGGGACCAGCAGCCAAAATTGAGGTGGATTTTTCTGTTTCATGTGATCTCCCACACTCATGTGAGACTGACAACAGCTCAGGAGAAGCTCCTGCTCTCCTGGCTGAAGACATCTAACTGAAAAAGAAAGCAAGCCAGCCTGGCACTTTATTTGAAAGTGGAAAGTCTAAGCACCAACAGAACAAGCCACCCAGTTACAGACCCATGTGAGCCCCAGGGCTGGTGCATCCCTGTGACCTTCCTTCCCACCCTTCTGCCCACAGGCAGGAAGGAGGAGGGTGGAGATTCCCTGACTCCATCTGCTGCAGGGCTCTGCCAACGCTGCTTCCCCTTCTCACCCCCTCCCTGCACTTGTGACACCATTTTCAAGGAAACCTGACTATGGGACCTCTGCACCCACACATCTGCTGCAGGCAGGGGTGGCAGGTCCCCGGGCGGGTGCCTGCTGGCCGGGCCCAGCACCCACTTTTGCAGATGCTTTTCCAAAGCCCCTCGTTGGGCTTGGAGCTGTTGGTGGCTGTGGAGCACCCCGAGCACATCACAGTCCCTCTCCCTTCCTTTCTGCTCTTGAGAACCAATAATATGAAAAATTCTCAGCTCAGGAACATGTCAGATAACTCCAGCAATCTCCAACCTCAGCACAACCCTCTGAATGACTGCACTGCTGCTTCCAGATAAGACAACATCTTATCAAGCATGTGAATGAATTCACATAAGCGTCTTCATATGAGGCAAGTGAGGTTTGGGGCAGCACCAAAGTTTAGTGAACCAGTGTCCCCAGGCTGTATGGCTGGCAAGCTGAGATCTCCACAGCCACCTTGCTGCTAGACACTTCCACAGCTGGAACACATTCTCTGCTTTGGTTATCTGGGGAGTTAAGTCATTTTATTTAGGCAAGGCCCAAAACAAGTGCATCAAAATGGCAATATATCACAATCTTGGCCTTTATTGGTCACTGCTCAAAAAAGATTAATTTTTTCTAAGGCTCCAGAGTTTCAAACAAGCAGCAGTGAAGCCTAATGAAAACTCTCCAGTGTGCCCAAGTTCCATAAAAATTACTTTATTCCATTATGTCAAGCCCAAATGATTAAAGACTAACTAGGATAAAGTGGAATATTAAAACAAATACGTTGATGTAAGTGCAGAAATTATCTTATCATTCAGCATCATTGCTCCAGACCAAGCAATGGCAGGTCTAGAAGATTTTCACTGCCCAACATGGCAGAGATTTCTAGTAACTTATCAACAGATTATAATGACTTTCAAAATAAAAACTTGATGTGATTCCATTTTAAAAATTCAACAAATAAACAAAGCTAAACTAAACCCAAAGAAAGGGCATTGAGGGGGTATTTTCCTATCTCATTCATTTGAAAGGGAAGACACAGCCAGAGATTAGAGAAGCATCCAAAGCACAACTAAAACCCTTGGGCAATACAGCTAAATTTAGAAATGAACTTCCCCACCCAGCCCCTTTTGCCACCACAAGCCCCAGGAAAACCCAGTGCAGAGAACAATGAATTCTCCAGCTTGAACCCATCATTACTGAGGGTAAGAAGAGCCCATGGAGGGAAAAATAAAAAGGCTGGGCTCAGAAAAATCGTAAACAAGAAGAATCAATGGAAGACACAGGGCAATTCACACAAACCAAAAGAAGACTGGAGGTGGAATGGCAATGGACATTTTAGTTTAAGCAAATAATCAATATTTCCTGTATGCAGCCTATAAACATAGAGTTGCAGTTTGACAAGCCCTAGATGGCAGCAAGCAGGTGAAATCACAGGAAGCACTAGCAGGCTCCAAGCAGCCACGAGACAAGAACAAGGACTCAGAGTCCCAAAACTTACCCCATGCCCCCACTCCACCTTTTGTCTTAAACCACAGATCTCACTGTATCTAGTACATTATGTTGCTGACCAAGACAAATACCTGCAAGAAGATGGGCACAGCCCAGCAATGCCCCATTAATGCATCCTCCAGCACCCTCATGATGGCCTGAGCCTTAAGTGTGCCTGGCTGCATCCCTGCTACACCAGCTGGGTGAGAGCCAGGGATTTGTTGGGATGGAGATTCAACAGATTTTTCTGATCTCTCTCTCCAGTGTGAGGTGGTAAAGACGAATTAGAGGGGAGAAGAGGACCTCTCTAGGTAGGCAGGACCTTTTTTACCCTGCATTAGAAAGCTAACTTGTGCCCTAGGATATGGGATACGATCACAGGGATTTAAGTGCTGTCAACACAGAAGAAAGCCTCTTCTGCTTGCTGCTCAGCTGCTGCTGCTTTCCTAAATGCCCCAGCCAGGAGAACCTCGTGTGCAGCACTGAAGCTCTGTAGCTATTTCCTTTATTGAGATTAGAAGGTTAATAAACAGCCCCTGATCATGCATTTTAAAAACAACAATAAAAGCCATTAAAACTGGAGCCAAACAGCCTCCCACCAACACTCCTCTCTTGAGTTGGAAAATTTTTCGGTGAAGGCATTAAACTTGCCAAGGTCTTTCATTCGACTGGCTGGTCTCAGCAGCCCCCTCTGCTCGCTGCCTGCAGCCCACGGCTCTGCTGCAACCCAGAAAACACCATCACATTAAACCTCCTTTGTTTCCAAAAGCCTCTTCCCCTGCAGAAAGTGGCATCATGCTAAACACAACTGCTATGGGATTATTATTTTTCCCCCCCTTTTTGCCCCTTCAGTCTGCTCGTGCCCAGAGAGAAGGGCTTGGCAAGTTCCTGGTGGGAAAAAAAAAGGAACGAGAGAGGACAATGGAGGTGCGGGAACAAGTTTCCTCTTTTAGCATGAAAATGAAAAGCCGGTTTCACGCCATTAGAGCAGGGAAGCTCTGGAACAGCTTTCCAGTAGGTGGTAGTGGGGGCAAGAGAGAGAGAAGTAGCTGCAAGGCAGAGCCCTGTGGTTCCACGGAGGATGGGGAGATGTCAGTGGGATGACAGCACGAGGCAGGACCTGGTGACTCAGTGAGCAGGACCAGAGATTGGAGAGGGGAAGGAGAGAGTTGAGATCAAATCCTTTCAGTGGTCTCCTTAATACTGAGTAAATCAAGCAATCCCTGGCACTCGTGTGTTTCCCTCTAATCACCACCCTCGCTTCACGAAATCAAGGGAATGGAAAAGCTTCATTTGCTTTAGAAATGAGAAGATGCTGGCCCTGCAGAATGGGTGTTTACAACCACCTCAGCCACACACCACCCACCCTCAGGCTTTTATAGACACCGTTACACTAACATACCAAATCTGCTCAGCTTTGCAGCACGAAGCTCCCATTCCAGACTCCCCTCCACCCCACATCCCCTCCGACCTCGGTCTGATGTTTCTCGGGGTTCACGTCCCTGTCATCCATCCCAAACAAGAGGGAAACCAGAAAAACAAGCCACGTAAGCTGCTGCCAGAGGATTTAAACTGCTGGATCACTTAGATGGGATTTCCACTTCTGTCTTCAGAGCCTCACTGTCCTTACAATCTAAAATGATTCTTGCTCCATTGGAAACACAAGCCTAAGTCATAGAAAAATGGAGTAAAAAGAGAAATACTCAAGGTCTTGTTATGCCCTGAGATAACCATCCATCTCATGATGTGAGGAAAGATTGT